GTATTTCTACAATCTACCAAATCAGTGTAGCTGCATCTGCGTTTCCATGCTACAATGGTGTAAATTTGCCAAGAAATAATAACCTCTTAGTCTCAGCAATTGTGCATTAAGATTGTACCGATAGAACAAACCAATATGTAGGCTATGGAAAGCAGATTTAAAAACCTTAAAAGCTACTCCTTTGGAAAGGGCTTCAAAGACATGTGCATGTGATTTGTGGTAAACAGGTTAAAACATGCAAACTCACTTAACTTAGCAGCCAATCCTATCCCTTTCTTTCCTTCCCGGGAGTCTATTATTTGCTCTCTACTCCTGCACCCTGCCCTGGTATTCTCATATTTCCCCCATCGCTCACCACCACCACAAAGCACAAGTGTAGTGGATGCACAGCTTTGAATTTCTGTCTTTATGCTAGTTTTGTTGGTGCTCTCTTGTGCCCAACGGTCTCTGACAAACCAAAATCAGAAGTGCTTTTTGACTGATCTGATTTGAAAATAAATCAGTATAGTAATATTTAAGTACCTCAATCAATGAGGTCATGTGCAGAGGGTTGTATCAAATCCACTTGTGCTCAGTCAGTTGTATTCATGTGTGTGTTTGGGGTTGTGAGGGTTGCCACACAATAACTAACAACTGCACTATAACACAGATGGCTGATGTGGTGCTGTGGGTGACAAACAATCACAACTGCTGCTTCTGAACTATGACGTGAACTTTTTTACTTGAACACTGGTGGTTAATTCCCAATCAAAAACCAACTTAACATTAAATATAATCACTGTCTATACAAGTGCACTCCCTGACTTCAGTGTACTGTGTCATCAATAACAAAGTCCCCCACAAACTCGATCTAAACCCAAGCAGAGAAGTGTATATTTCAGCCAAGTGGATAAAAACCCCACAAAGATTAACTCAACCGCTAATGACCTCTTAGCTGCATTAAAATGCCTTGGAGGTATGGGAAGATAAGTGTCTTGTGTGAGCACTGATTTGGTAGCCAAAATATCTTCCTCTGTGTGTGTGTGTGTGTGTGTGTGTATCACTACAGGAAGACAGGCGGTTACTATTACACAGGGTTTACATTTACACCACTATAGTATGCAGCTGTGAAAGAGTGATCTACAGCTGGCATGAGATGGACACAAATACCGGTATACTATAATAAGAGTTGCCAAGCTATTGTTGGCTGTACTATTAAGAAGATGGCTGATGTGGAAGTTAACCATACATTCATTTATTTAGATATTGAAACTGTAGTTTCCATGATATTATCAAAAATCCATGTTCAAGTCCAAGTAGTGGCATGAACTATTTAGAAGTAGGCAGCACAGGGAATACAAGTAATGTAGTTCACATACAGATTTCTATGACAGATAACTATTAAAGCTAAGTTATGAAGCTTAAAGTTCAGTGGCAAACAGATTTAGTGTATAGTGTATAGCTAATGTGTTTTAATCAGGTGAAATGGATGCGATAGATCCCCTGTGTACTCACAGTGTGACTGTCCTGTTGGGGAAGGAGTCCGGGGGTAACACCTGATGGAGCTCCATGTTGCTGCACACCACCTTCCTGTCGGACTGCAGGCTTTTCCCACCGCTTTTCGAGCGTTCATCATATGATTTGCAATCAGATGATACCGCCGAGCCGCCACCGCCGCCGCCGAGCAGCAAAATCACAAACAACTGCAACAGATCCACCCTCATTTTCACACGCGACCAGAAAACCACTGCAGCATTGGCAAAGGAAACAATGTTTTGATACTGAAAACGGGGCAGATGGGGGAGTTGATACTGGGAAGCTTTGTTATGAGAAGGACAAAAATGAGGCCAGTATCTTGTTTGGCTCAAGCGAGCCTTCCTCCTCCATGTCTCGCCAGGCTTTCCCCTTTGCTCCGCGGTGTTCAGCCCCACAGAGGTGTCCTTCTTTGTTTGCCAAACGACTCATTTATAATTCCCTTTCCATCCTGGCGTGGTGTCCATTTCCTAGAAGTCGATGAATCCGCAAATTTTGAACACTGCGTGTGCTCGCTGGTTACTGAATAACTTGTCCAGTTGTTGAGAGGCTTTCTTTGTTGCCCATAGCGTGGGTCCGAGTCAGTGTTGTCTTTTCCACGGGAGAGGCGGCTGCAGTAGTCCCAGGTTATCCACACACCAACTTCGGGAAACGCGGCCAGGCTTTTTAAAACACCCACTTTAATTTCCCAGTACTTTGGACTACGCACACCAAACAACAGCTAGTAAACTTTTCTGTTTTCCAGGGACCAACAGGAAATTAGTCAGGGAAAAAACACAAAAGCGCCACAACACCTTCTCGGGTCAAAGTGTGCTGCAAATGCCCCAAACAAAGTAAAAAAAAAAGTAAAAAGCTAAATGTCGCTTAAAAGAAAATATCCAAAAGTGGTTGTTGTGTCTCTTTTAGCTCCACTGAGTCTTTAGAAAGTATTCAAAACCAGTTCACTGTCCATTGAGAAGTCCTCCTCCCATAGCTTTGCCCCGGGCTCCACCATTGTCAAGTCCCTCGGAATCCAAACCATATCCGGTCCACGTTTCAAAATAAAAGCATCACCGGAAGCGTTTATGTGAGAATTCAGTTTAGTGTGTTGGGCATGATTGAAATGGTTTTACAGATATATTATATTATATTATTACAGTTATTTTTCCAGTCTATGGTTTTACCAATGGAAAGTGTTTTCAAGTATTGTACAAATAATTTTTTAAATTACCTATACTTTACTAGTGTATTTCTATTTTATGTTTCCTTAACTTATGGCAAATATTACACAACATTTGCAGAGAGTGACACAAAACCATTTAACCCACAATTTATAAAGTTATTAAATCATAACTCCACCAGTGTTTAAATGTGACTAAGTAGCCTACGTTTAATCGAGTACCGTGGGCCCACTTAAGTACAATTTTGAGGTAGATTACATCTCAGAGGGAAATATTGCACTTTTTTAATCAACTACATTTATTTGACAGCATTGCAGATTCAGATTATTAATACAAAATATAAATCAAGGAATAGCCAAAATTGTCAAGTATAGGTTAAACTAACCAGCAGTGGCTTATAAAGTAATTAAAATCAGCTCCACCTTCAGTTGCAACATTAAAGTGATGAACCTCAATGCATTATAATCCAATAATAGAATATAATATTATTTTGAAATAGACTATTCTTTATTATTATACTATTTATTATATTATATTATATATTATACTACTTATTATACTTTTTGTACTTTGATAATATTTTGATGCCAATACTTTTGTCTTTTTATTCAAGGGTTTGAATGCAGGACTTTCAATTGTAATTGGTTATTTTTAGATTGCTGTATTACTATTTCTACTGAAGTAAATTATCTCATTGTTTCCTCTACCACTGCCAACCACTCCAGTTAAATGCTGCTTACGGAAATAAGTAAAAAATCAGTCCAGATATACTCTGCATACTATGCATACTAAAACACTCAGAAGTGTTTTTAGATTAAATTTAGTTTGTTTTTCTGTATTTTAGTTAATTACACTTTTGAATACAGAAATTTTACAGGACAAAAATGAGTGTTTTTATGCCTCTGTGCAGTTGTTTCCACAGAAGCAGCGTAAAGGACATCTTTTCTTTACCCGTGGTCTTTTCCTCAGTTTGGGTGCCTCTGAACAAGTTCAGTCAGGTTTGCTGTACTCACAATGGCCATGAAAGATTAAGTCGCAAAAATCCAATTGTATCTTGTAGCTATGAAGAGGACGTTTAACTGGCAAGGATGTTTTTTTTTTGCCCTTTGGCAAACAGTCCATTTCCTTTGTTATGATGAGGTCAAGTGAGTCCCTTCATTCTACAGAAAACTAGAGGATAGCACTGAAGTTATCACAGGCCAGAGAACATAAAGCTTCAGGCTACAGCTTTTGCCTCCACTAGTCTATTGGTTTTCAGGACCTTGGTGCTCTTTAACCTTTTTTTGTCTGCATTCAGGACGTCACATAGCCTAGATTATTCCCACCGGATGTTATAAATCCAGGGGCATAGGTTTTTACTTCTTTCACTAAACTTAATTAAATGACTTCATAGACTTCATGGCCTCTATAAAACTATAAGTACACTTTGTTATATATCTATTGCCAGCTGATATTATGTGCTGTCTTGACTGGACAGTGTAAATTTCATACATCCAACAACATTCAGTTGGTCTCTCAACAATTTCCCTCCTGTTAAATTAATTTGCAGATACTTTAGGATCAAACAATGTTAACAGCTGACATTTTGGGCTGTTTTGACTGGTCAGTGTGAATTTTATACATGTAATACTCACCTAACCCGGCCTAAGAAAGGATCTAGGGATGCAATTTTTGGCAGGTAGGCTAAAATCTCAGCCGGATAATGTATGAATCAAATGCAGATAGCCTATTTTGGGTTAATTTAACTTAACAGTTTCTTAAAACTGTATGAAATACTTAAAAAACGCCATTAAAGACACGAAGAGTTCGCCCTCAGAAATTGGACTATTGAGATTAATCAAGTCCCTTGCTAATTTCTGACTAATCCTATCAAGGAAATGCAACTTCTACTGAGTCTAAAACACTATGATTCTAAGCCTTCATTAACTATGGGCTTAAGGTCATTTACCACCACTGATGGACCCTACAAAGAAGTTTATGTCGTTTTTAAACTGTGCTTTTCCGTAGAAGTCATTACAATGTCTGGTAATGTCGCTTCAGGCTGTGCGCGCCCCCGCGAGGTGCCTGCAAACCTCGGCGGGCAGCCTCGTGTGCTGCTTTCAGGTGCTCCTCGGAAGTTTGCACATCCCAAGTCGTGAGCACAAGTTTCAAGGGAAACTCAACATACAGATATCAGTAACTAAAGTAATTTTGGGTTATTTTGAGCCACATGATTCAAGTAGTGCTGCAAAGCCGGAATCAAGCAAAGAAAATGTATATAATTGCGCTTTGAGTTGGCTTACTCTACAAGACAACCCTCACGTCCCATAAACGCCACATCTCCAAGTGTTTCCTGGTTCAGAATACTAGGTTCAGGATACTCCACGTTGTTACATTATGCGCGAAAATAACCAGTTTAAAGTAGGATTTCTGTGAGACATTCACATTATATCTATGCAAACCGCAGCAAGACATTAGAACTGATTTGGTTCAGTGTCCTAAAGGTGTACAAACATGTTCCCACGAGACTTCGCGTGGGGAGCGGGAACTGCTGCGTATCAAATAGAAGGTATGTAAACACAACCACCACACTGAACTGTGAATCGTTATAGTGGGTGAACTGGACACAATACCACTTACACTCCTGTAGTTAATATAGTGAATAGACCAGGGATACTCAGCTCGCTTTGCCAGGGCGCACTTAAAAAAAACAAACAATATATATTAGTGTATGTAATAAATGAATTGACAGTTTGAAGCCTGTCGACATCTGCTGTAGTGTGCGGGTGTGAACAGGGGCGTTTATAGGATTTGAGGACTGGGGCCTTAGCCCAGGCTTCTGTCAGGGGATCCACCCTGGACACTTGTTTTTGATTTTTAAAAAAAAGCATATTTTGAAGTTTTTAATGCACTCTTTAACCTTTTTCACATTAAAAGTATATAAAAAAAATCCTATAGTTAATCATTATCTTCACTGTGAATAAGATAATGATTGTCAGCTGAATATCACTGTAAAAGACCTACAACAAATACTTCCATCAGAGTGTTGCTTTTGCCAAGACTAGTTCTTTTTTAATTAAATTTATCTATGAATTATTTTATAACGAATGAGCCAAAAGTGCTTGTCACTGCTATCACATTCAGTATGACAATAAAGTATGGACTTAATAACTCTGCCCTAGTTTGTGCTGATGTTGCATTATAACTTTTGCTTTGTGGCTATTTGGGAGATAGTTGTCTTATATCTTTTATGAAGTCCAGTATGTCAGACCAGAATTTAAAAAAATGTTGAGTTAAATCCACACCACTTAACAAGCTAAACATCACAGGCTCCATTAAGGTTATATTTATTGAAGAACCTTTGTACTACATTACATTAGATGGCATGGGTCCGGTGTTCATGATATTGTGTCCACTCCCTGCAAATGGCACACACCAAGACACAATGCAGGGGGTAATTTTTTTTCCATACTTGAGTAGGCTATGCATTAATGACATGAGACGTTTAATTATAACCCATACATAACCTTGACCTTTCACCATTGTCATGCCTGACCAACTCATAGACCTTATTCAGTCAAGAGACCATTTTCAATTAGCTCATCCTAATGTAAAGCTGGCCCACTTACAAAAAACCTACAGACCATTATTATTATACAGGGGGACAAATGCAGCAAAGTTAAAACAGCAAATGGTACTGGGGATCAGCCAGAGATACTGTCACAATGAATTCAGTAAAATCCACAGGCACACTTGAAGTCCCAATAGAAACATTACTGTGATTTCTTTAATGTCAACATCCTACATACTTTTATGAAATGAAACAACCTTTGTGTGCGCACCGAGGTGGCTGGCAGGCAGACGGCAAGGGACTGAGTATCTGGGACACGTTTTGTCACGATAAAGGCAGAGTGTTTGGGGAACAGAATGGAGATGTGGCCTGTAACAGCTACGAGCTGTGGGAGAAGGACCTGGAGTGTATCCAGCAGCTTGGACTGACGCACTATCGTCTGTCGCTCTCCTGGGCCCGCCTCTTGCCTGATGGGACCACACGATGTGTCAATCAAAAAGGTATTTCCATATCCCCAGTGGACCTGTACCATATTAGAACACAATATTTTGCCTTATCACCCATTAAAAAACACATTGTATATGTGTTCAACAGGTGTACAGTACTACAACAAGGTGATTGATGATTTGCTGGCCTGCAGTGTATCACCTATGGTCACACTTTACCACTTTGACCTGCCTCAAGCTCTCCAAGATCAAGGTGGCTGGAAATCACCGGATATAACGACCCTGTTTGACAGCTACGCCAAGTTTTGTTTCCGAACATTTGGTGACCGCATCAAACTTTGGATCACTATCAACGAACCCTATGTGTGCGCCAAACTGGGCCATGAAGATGGTATCCATGCCCCTGGGTTAAAAGAACTGGGGATTGCTGCCTACCTGGTGGGCCATAACATGCTGCGTGCTCACGCCATGGCCTGGCACAGCTACAACTCGATCTACAGGAAAGAGCAGAAGGGGGCAGTGTCTCTGGCCATCAACAGCGACTGGCTTGAGCCACTACACGCAGGTTGCACCGAGGATATCGCTGCCACTGACCGCCACTTTGCATTCACACTAGGTTGGTTTGCCTGGCCTGTGTTTGTAACTGGAGATTATCCAGAAATAATGAGATCTGCCATCAATGCTCAGAGTAAGAAGTTGGGGTACAACGGTAGCTCAAGGCTGCCCAGTTTCTCAAAGGATGAGCCTTCCATTTTGGGCACGGCTGATTTCTTCGCATTGAACTACTATACATCTCGTAAAGTCAAGCCGGGAGAAGGGTGTGGAAAGATGCTGTGTATGAAGAGCGACCGGCATACAGAGGAAGTTTTGGATCCATCCTGGCCTATCTGTGGTGTGTCCTGGCTCGCTGTCGTGCCCCATGGCTTAAGGAAACTTCTTAAGTACATCAAGGTAAAACTACAACTACAGGTCCATCATTTGGGGTAATTTTCTGTTTCATCTCCCTCAGTCCACATCACTTAAGTATCCCCAAACAAGGCTCAAACACATCCTTTATTTTGAGTGTGAATTCAATCAGCTGAAATGCGAAGCCATTTTTCTTTCTTCTCTTGGCATCAAGCTGAATTGACCGACAACAAGACAAATCGCCTTCAACCAAACGAGTAGAACACCCTGACATTTGTACAGTGTCTTGCTATTGATTTTGTATGTGGTAATCTCCTTTTAACACCTCCAGAAACACATTGATGCTTCATTAGGGCTGTCACATTGAATGAAACAGTTACTTTGCTGAAAGTGTTTGCAATTGCAATTTCCTGCTGTTGTGCCTTGTCACAGGCCATTAGTCTGAGCTTGGCACCGGTGAAATGCAGCTAAACGGCACACTGTGGACCAATCTGTCTCTCCCTGGAATGTCTGACAGCTGAGATGCCTTGTTTGACAATAATATTTGCCCCATGACTTTCCAGGACACTTTCAACCACCCTGCGGTCTACATTACAGAGAACGGCTTCTCTCAGGTGGGGCCGCTGCAGATTGAGGATGCCCAGCGCTCAGAGTTTTACAAGGACACCATCTTCGAAGTAGCAAAAGGTAATGGCTGGTAAATCTGCATTGGAAATAAGCAAATAGCCATTCGCAGATAGGAGCATGTTCCAAGCCAGCGGGGAAAACAATAGTGAAATATTACGAATAATACTAAATGGTTAAACTGGATTTGGTATAAAAACAGTAATGGTGGAAACAAACATTTGGATGTGCAATAGATTTTTATAGATTCATGAAAATGTTATTTTTATTCATATTATTTTATTCCCAGACCTGAAGGCTCAGGAGTTATTGCCCAAATGTAAAGCATTTGTTTTGGCACCACCATCTGGCCAATCTGTGCAATTTTTATTGCTCTAGGATTCATAGTGTGCTTGGATTTATTCTTTTCAGATCTACAAAATTAAAGGTCTTTTCTACGCTTTTACTCTCTGTGTTCGCGTGTAGCTATACAAGAAGATGGAGTCAACGTCCGTGGATATTTCGCCTGGTCGCTGCTCGACAACTTTGAGTGGGCCGATGGATTCAGTGTTCGTTTCGGATTGTTCCACGTGGACTTCGCAGACGCAAAGCTAAGCCGTACCATCTACCAGTCTGGACGGGAGTATGCAAAGATGATCTCAAAATACAAATGTGGTCAAGAGGAAAAGAGATAATAAAAATCAGCAGTTTTTGCATTGCTTTCCTGTCAGACTCACACATTCATACAAATTAGATACACCAATCCAGTTCAGCAAACCAACCAGGCTTCCTTTTTATTGTAGATCCAAAGTTTAAAGCACCACTTTTGTGCCTGGATTTCTTTTCAGTTTAGAAAATGGCCGGGGTGATTTATAGAAAATCTGACTTCAGCAGGGTACACGAGGACATGGCTGAACAGTGTTGATTCAGTGGGATGCAAATTAGTATTCTATCCTGCCCAGTTCCCAGTCAATCTTTACTAGGAGGTTTATGGAGAGTTCCTCACTGAGAGGGCCAAGGCAGCTGTAAGACCAAGCTGCTGCAGAACAAATGCGTGTGAATGCATTGTATTTGTCAGTGATTAATAGCAGTATTAATGGTGGCATCATCTTGAATAACAGCGCTGAATACACACATTCACTTTGGGTGTATAGTGGTGAGATGCATGGTTGCAGTCCATCTACATCTCTAAGATCTCCTCCTCAATCTGTGAGTCAATAAATCAAAAAAAACAACAACAAAAAAAACAGCACAATACCATGCATTGTACTTTGGAAGTTTATTGTACTATCTGGTATTTGAAGTACGAGCGAAAATAAATTACACAGTCCATTTGGTCATCCCTTTTATATTCGACACACACAACTCCTGTACCACCTCACCTATCACACTGGAAAGAACCCATCAAAAACTCACTTATCATAATGCCGCCAGGCTGCATAAAGCACACTCCAGTAGACTCAGAAGGGATGCCAGCTGAAAGCAACAGATGTCCTGCCACAGGAAGAGAGTGTAATGCCATTTGTGTTCCCTGGACAGCTGTGCAAACTCTCTACTTAAAGAAAGAAAAGAGCGAACAAGGCGAAAAGCCTCCCGGAGGCCTTCTGTTGATTCGTTGTGCATGCTGTGGTTAAGGTAGGATTATTTATATGGAGTGCTGAACAATGCACAGTAGATCTACAAGGCTGGGTATTTAACATTAGTGTGTGCAGGTGTGTCTAAAAGAAAGCGGGATATTGTAAATCATTTGCACTGTTTTAGGTTAAAGACGAAAGAAAGGGCAATTAAAATCAACTTGATCTTTGCTCTATGGAACTGTAGACAAGGATGAGCAGTGTGATGGCACCTGTTTGTAAGCCTACAGTGCCACCTTGTGGTATCAAAGTGAACTGCAACTTTGAATTGCACCACACTTCACATTTTGGGGTCACAAGATGTGCTGCTTTGATTAATAAAATGCATCCTGTTGGTGTAACAATAAACAACTAAAGCAGCTTCCTAACCACAATACATCACAGATTTAACACAATTAATATTTATGCTCCCATGTGAAGGAAAATGTCATTTATATTCTGTGTTGGGAGACTTTGTTTGCATTAATAAGCATGGTGTATCGTGACATCCAGTTGGCTGTGCATACTGTTTTCAACAGATGTGAGTAATACCCTTGTGGCCCTCCTCCATCTATGTCAAGCCGAGTGAGATTCTCCTTTGTCTTATGATGAATAACAAGCTATTGTGGAAAACATGAATAATGCCACCGCCGCTCACATTAGAACTCCTTTGCAGGCTGCTTTGAACGCAAAGTTGAGCCACACTTCACACTATTTCGACGCTAATGAAGTTCATCTAATATCTGTGGCTCTGTCAGAAGCTGCTTTAAATCTCTGCAGAGTGACGGTGACAGAGCACAAAGCACTAAACATTTACTAAACAGATGTAATATGCAGCTTGTCAGACGGGGACAGCAGCCGATTAAAAATCAAGCAATGTGTTAATAAAAAAAAATCTTTTATCATTAAAAAAAAAAAAGTTCAAAGCAGTTCAAAATCCCCTTACCTGCATGTGTCAGAGACAAAATCAGAACTAAAGCAGGTTTGAATCATGTTTCCCATGGGCAACTGAATTCCCAGCTAAGGGTTGATTAGTAATTCCACCAACTGTCTCCCAGTATTGATGGATTCCATCTTCCTCCATCCCTGGCTGGAGGTAGCTGCATGGGTGAAAGAAGCACCACTGCAGCTGAATTGATTGAATGAAATATGAGCAAGAAGTTCCTCTGCACTTAGTGGATGTTGGAATTAGCCTTTTGCAGGGGGGGGGGGGGGGGGGGGGACTGAGGAATAATATGTGCCTATTGCAGGTTGGAAAGCTTAAAACATTAATTAGCATTTAAATAATTCACTCCTCCAGTCTCTTTAATAGCCCCAACTACGAATATTCAACTTCAATTCATTACAGCGGGCAGAATTTATTCTGATTAGGCCGTGATGTAGAAAGTCACCGAAGAAACCATTTCTAAATGTGCTTTCCAATTAAGCGCCAAATATATCATGTGTATAGATAAGTTGCTTTTGACAATGAATTAGTACGTTTAATTGTAACATTCAATCACTGGCGGAGATTTACCCCCGAGGAAAATTCTGGCAAATTACCAAGAGAGGCCCATTTGTATTTGACCAAACTTAACTCGTTCTATTTTGACAGACACTATGAAATATTCATTAACTGGGAAATTCATTTACTTATTATAAATTAACTAAATAATTTAGCTGCTGATAAACTATCTTCATTGTGAATTATTGGGAAAGCACAATCTTGTGTATCGGTGCAGTGCTTACAGGTGCAAAGGGTATGACTTCTGGCAAATAATTACCTTTTTCTATTTACTGATTACCCTCATATGCATATTCCCTGGAGAAATTGTATAATTAGATTGTTGCTTCAATATCAAGATGAAGAGACATCAGCCACTCCCTTCCTCTAGAGCACAGATACAAATCTTCCCTTTCCTCTCGCTCTCTTTGTCTGGGTCTCTCAGTCAGCTGGTGAGGGACCCGCGAGAGACCCAAACCACCACTCAGCCTGCCTTCTGTCTTTTTCTTTCTCCCTCTCTCTTGCTCTCTTTCACTCACTCTCTGTAGCTCATCATCTTTCCCTCTCCTAATCGCATTGCTCATTTTCCATTGACAAGAGAGTATGAGGAGAGAGGGAGGAGGAAAAAAAAAAAAAACAGCACAAACTTTCTAAATCCCATTGACCTACTTCGCCAGACATTTCAGTGGGAATTCATATTAGTGCAAAAGAGTTAGAAGAAGAAATGTTTTTCATTCCCCCCCCCCCCCCCCCCCCCCCCCCCCCCCCCCCCCCCCCCCCCCCCCCCCCCCCCCCCCCCCCCCCCCCCCCCCCCCCCCCCCCTTCTTCCTCACAACTCCCCTCCTCCTCTTTCTCTTTCAGCTGGAAGCCATTTTCCTCACATCCTGTGTTTGATCCTGTATGACCACTACAGTACATTACACAAGTGGATAAACGCCTTACCGTGGCGTAACCAGCGGTTTGGAGCTCTGTCGCCACTTTTGACAGTGGCATAAGAAGCATGACATCGGAGGTATAAAAAGCGCTCTGGAAGACCTCGTGTTTGATTGATGAATTTGGCGGCGCAGACAAGATTGAGGGGGATGAATATTGCTAGGCCTTGAAGACAGGAAGTGGAATTATGACGGACCCATACAGAGAACTAAAGCGGCGAGACGAAAAGAGAATAAAAAGAGAGAAAGGCAATTCAAATCTTTTTCTTTTAAGTCCCTCCCTGAGGGACTGCAGATGACCCTGCTAACGACTGTTGAAATTCTAACTCCCTTGAGTGTGATGGCGCCGCGTGATGGGAGGGGGTTCGCAGACCTGCCTGAAAAATTGAAAGCTCCTAGAATATTCAGCTAACCCCGTGCGCTCGGTTGGGGGTGGTGATTGGGGGGCACATGCAGAGATTGGTATTCAGGGTTTGTGTGCGTGTGTGTATGTGGTGGGTAAGCCCGGCGGTGGTGGCGAGAGAGAACCCCCCCTCCGTGTGCATGTGTGTGGTGGCCAATGAGCCGAGCGCCGTGTCTCATGGGAACAGTGGTAGGAGTGCGAGTGAACATAAGTGAGAAAGAGAAAGAGACAATTTATGGAACCTTTAGAAGCGAAGTGAATATAGCTGTGATGGCGGTGTGGTTATCAGGCCCGGATCCAAGCAGGGAGACTAATGACGTGGATATAACCTCATGCTCCCAATATGCAAACACAATGTCATCAACAAAGAAAGAGTGAAAAATTCATCTGCTCGAAATCTCAGAAACTTTCCGGACAGAAAGTGGTTACCTGTGGGTCTTGTCTGTCTGGAAATAATGAAAGGAATACAGGGGGGCACTTACAGTATAAACTTGATCCCGCATTTACCTTGGCCTTTCATGTCCTACTTCAAACATTTAAAGGTTCCACTTTCATACAACCTGCTTCTTACTGTCGTATCATCAGTCCCATTGGTGATAATACCTTTCAAGTTAATTGCTGAGATGTGGAAATGCAGCAATTCAATCTCAGAACCCATCGGCTATTGGTCTGATGACGATCAGCCGCTAGGGGACAGTATTTTGGAAGATCCAGTGTAATCAATGGATATCCAGTGCCAAGACTTCCTCTTCCAAGCACTGTTCATCTATCAACATATCTGCATAACAACACAGATACATTTTTAAAAAATCTAAATCTAAATCGTCATCAGACAATAGCCGATGGGTTCCGCGATTGCATATCGGCAAGTGCGTTCTGCCTCTACCGCTCAAATGTGATACTACTCAGACTACAAACGGAAACCAGAATGCTTCCAATACCAAAATCTTGTCCCGCTGCCTACAGATTCAGCATGCAGATATCAGTTTACAGTGATTTGCTCATACCCAACTAAAATGGAAGGAGTCTCTATCTGTACGTTCTTCGACTCTCTCAACAACTGTTCATCCGATTGACTTCACATTTGGGATTGTATTGCTGAGGACCCAAGGACTTGAAATAAACGGGACATATTTAGTAGTAGTGTATTATGTACACACTGTAGAGTATTGAGAGGGGACCCCTATTGACTGTTACACCACTGAATGGCATGCGGGGTACAGCTCATTCTGTCACTCGCTAGAGAGACTAGAGAAGCTCAAACATTACAAGCTATCAGAATGAACATTTTTTGTTCCTGGAAATAGCCTGGTCCCAAATAAGCTAGCTGTTAGCAAATGATGTGTATTTTAGCTTTGCTAGATGACATAAATATATCATGATTGGTACTGGTGTACTGCCCAGGACCCAAGAAAGCACAGTGTCAAGTGTGTTGCCTGGTGGGGTGGTTCGAGAAAGCTGCAAGCAATCAGCGCCTTCTGAACGGCACGTTTTGATCGGCCACTGCACTAGTCCAAATAAAGTGGTTTAGATCACTGGTCCCAGACTCCCAGGACCTGGACCATTACCTGATCACGAAAAATACGCTCCTGGGCTGCAAGGAAACAATATCATCTGGTAGTTACCTCAGAATTGCCATGGCCTGTCTGTGCTGCATTTTTCTTCATCACTCCACTCCCCACTATGTCTGCAGCAATAGGATACAGATCTGAACTGAACTAAGTCATCCTAATGTGAGATAATCAGTCCGTCATCACCCACTTAGCTGCTTTATGTGGCGTGCGTTCCTCTTGCAACAGGCTGGCTAACATGAGTAAAACCTAAAC